CATCACGATCTGAGCCAAAGGCAGACGTTCAGCCACTGAGCCTCCCAGGTGCACCCTCCTTTATACAACTTTAAAAATGGAAAGCAACTAAAGTCCTCCAGACTCTCCCTTAGACTAGACAGGACTTAGCTTCCCTTTGGGTGCTTAGGAAGACAACTACCAAAAAACCCCCACTACTCTGCAATGGCAAGAGATGGACAGGGTAAAGACTATGCTATAAATAAAATGAGAGAAAGACTTCTCAATCTGTTAAATCGTCTTCCTTTTCCCATTCAATATTTTATAGTCATATGGGCTTTTAACAAAATATATGACAGTCTGCAATGCAATTAGTCCTCCTGAAAGATGCACATCCCAATAAAGCTGTCACCTTCCCTTACTATATTACTATTTAAAAATACTTCTGCAGCTTACTTATGTAGAAAGGGAATTAAGATACCATTTTTGAACCTATCACATTGGAAAAAATGATAAAGTTCAGTAGTAGATTATTTTGGCAATGGTGTGGATTAACTGGCAAACTCATAAATTGCTAGTGGAAGAATAAATTGGTAAAACTTCTATTAAGGTCAATCTGACAATATCTAACAAAAATTAAAATGCACAAATGCTTGGACCCAACAACTTCACTTTTAGCAATTTATTCTACCGATGAACTTGCACACATGCAAGTAATATTTATTGTAGCATTGTTTGAATAGTAAACAACCTAAATGTCTCTCTTTCAGGGAATGAGTAATAAATTATGACATCTATACAATGGAGTATCATGTTGCCATTAACAAGAATGAAGCAGGGGGATGCTCAGCGGTTTAGCGCCTGCCTGCAGCCCACGGCGTGACCCTGGAGACCGGGGATCAAGTCCCACGTCAGGCTCCCTGCATGGAGCCTGCTTCTCCCTCTGCCTGTGTCTATGCCTCTCTCTCTCTCTCTCATGAATAAATAAATAAAATCTTAAAAAAACCAAAAAAACTAAGAATGAAGCAAATTGCATTCTTTATGTACTTATATGGAAAGAATACTAATATGTCATGTGGGAAAGAGAAAAGAAGCTCTTGACATCAGTTAGAACTTGGATGTTGCCAAAAGCTGGCCTGGCACCCAGTTAGTCCTTATTATTTTCCTTTTGAACATAAAAAATTTCATATGACGAGACCTGTGACAATGATAGATCAAGATAAAAACAAGGCTATCAATAATCATGTATGAACATAGATAAAAACATGAACATTACTGGAACTATATAAAAATGACCAAATATCCCTCTATCCTAATATGAGTAAATTTTTTTTTTTGCCAATTATGACATTAGCCTTGATTTATCCTCCTGCCTTAAGATTAAGATACCCAATCACAGAATGGCCCCAGCATCCTAAAAGCATCCAATCCAGAGCAAATCCACACTTTCTTAAAACTTTTTTCCCAAACCATCTAATCCAAACCAAATCCTAGAATCCCACACTTTCTTAAAACTTTTTTCCCAAACCATCTAATCCAAACCCAAATCCTAGAAATCCTTTCCCAATACCCTCCAGCTGAGATGTCCTATAATTCACCATGGTGTGCATTCTCCCTCATTGTAATGAGCAATAAACCTAACTTATTCAACTAAGGTGTGTCCTTGGAGGAGAAGGCATTGGCATATGTTAAGTGAAATAAATAGGGTGCAAAATCATGTATATATGTGCATATGCTATAATTTGTTTAATATAAAAATAAATAGAAAAAATATATTTGAATATGCATGGAACGTCTCTGGGAAAACATACTAGTTAAAAATAATTGCCTTTTGGAAGTAAAGGCTGAGCACAGAGTGGGAAGAAAAGTTTTCAGTATATATAGTTTGTTGCCATGTTCATTAATTACTCACAATTAATGACTTTTTAAAAAGATATTAAGAATCCTGGGTGTCTGGGTGGCTCAGATGGTTGAGCATCGACTCTTGGTTTTGGCTCAGGTCATGGGCTCAGGGTCATGGGCCCATATTGGGCTCTGGGCTCAGCAGGGAGTCTGCTTCTCTCCCTTGGTCCCTCTCCCCCTACCCCGCCCCCTCACTTGCACACACTCTCTTCAAAATAAATAAATCTTAAAAAAAAAAAAAAAGCAAGATAATGAGATCACAGGGATCACCCCTGTGATCCATAGTGAAGAAAAATTAGAATCTTGTCTGGACAGTTAGGCTTATCAATTTTCTAGAGGGAGTGATTTCCACCATGTTGTAGTTCCTCAAATCACATTACTACTGCTAACTGCTCTCCAGCTAGACCTCCCAAATCAGTCTCTGTGGAAAAACAGGATCAAATTTCAGTACTTTTACATCTTATTGATGAAGGTTGCTGATTTGTCTGTATTAAAAAACCATTAGGTACACGTGTCTTCTTTAGAGTGGGATCCAAGACTCTTAAGTCTGGAATATGAACAGTTCATGGTGGTTTTATACTTCTGGCTCTCACAGGAAGTATGCTGAGAACATACAGGATTTAAATATCACACTGCTTCTAGCAGAGGCCTTACCGCTATCAAGTAGTCTTCTTCAAAGTTACAGCTGATGGTGGTAACTGAGCTTTTCTGAGGCATTCTCTTGCCCCAGCACTCCTCAAGTCTCCACCAGAGCTGGCTCCCACTCCACATTATGCCTGGCTGCCCAGCACTTGGATGGGTGGGTGAGCTACTTGACCATAAAAAAGACAACTTTGAAAAAAAAAAAAAAAGACAACTTTGGGGATCCCTGGGTGGCTCAGTGGTTTAGTGCCTGCCTTCGGCCCAGGGCATGGGTCCTGGAGTCCTGGGATTGAGTCCCACGTTGGCTCCCTGCATGGAGCCTGCTTCTCCCTGTGCCTGTGTCTCTGCCTCCCTCTCTCTCTGTGTGTCTCTCATGAATGAATAAATAAAATCTTAAAAAAAATAAAAAAGAAAGAAAATCCTATCTAGGATCATCTTTGTTAAAAAAAAAAAAAAGACAATTTTGGATACAGGGTATATTATATCCTACAGTCATATTACACAAGCCAGTAGCACTTGGCAGTTCATTTTTGGGGTGTATTAATCTTCCTTGGCTGGTAGAGAGGCTTCCTACAAACTGTACCCAGGTCTGGTTCCTTGACCTATCTTGGGGTCTGTAGTCTTTCTTTCATCTCCAGTTTGACCTTTTGTGTAGTTTTCCATCATCCTACCTTTTTTTTTTTTTGACTTACACTTGTGCCCTTTACTAACTCCTGTTTATAAAACTACTTACACCTGTCCCAACAATTTAGACCTTGTCAACAGGCATTCCAATGCTTCTATTAAAAACACATACCCTGTTGGGGCACCTGGTGGTTCAATCAGCTGAGTGTCTGACTCTTGATTTCAGCTCAGGTCATGATCTCAGGGTTGTGAATCAAGCCCTGTGTTGGGCTCCACATTGAGTGGGGAAATCTGTTTGAGATTCTCTCTCCCTCTACTCCTCCCCCTACCCTCATGCTCTCTAAAATAACAAATCTTTAAAACTATTTTTTTTAAACACATACCCTGTCAACAGTTCCCTAATACATACACAAATCCATTTTTTTGCATGACAATCGGAGTCTTCTAAACCTTTCATCATGTCCTTAAGAATTCTTCCTTCAGAGAGGGCTCAGTTCAAGTTTTACACACTAAATTCTGCTTGGACCCTCAGTCCCCACTGAGTCTTCCTCTCCCAAGCTACCATTAAATGAAGACAGAAAATTATCTATTGACTCAGCTGTTTCCAAACATTTCCCTCCCCTATCCTCAGCTCTTTTTTCAAAGGGAAAGCCTACAAGGAAAACTAAATATGTACAGCACCAGCTCTGTGTGAAAATGGTACAAACTCCTCAACTCCCTTTCCTCTATCCCTGAAGATGTTCAACCAGGCAGCTTTAAAACTATGGGTTTATTCTACCAATGAATGTTGGCTACCTTTTCATGTCAAATTCCCAGGTAGATTACTAATTTCCTGGAGGCATAGGCCCTGTTTTATTGACCTCAATTCAACTAATAGTTCAGCATTATATAACTGCTACTAAGCCAGCAAGGGTATATAGTATTTCATATCTGGTCTTTAATACAACCTATGTGATAGGCATTTTTTTCTCCCCTTTTTACACATAAATTTAAGTGATGCTGGAAGTAAAGGCCTAATTTAATCAGCGGCAGAGATGCAACCCATACCCAAGCCCTCCTAGTCTAAATCCAGTGCATTTTCTATTCCACCAAGTAGCCTCTAGGTCTATCCTGGATTATTCTTTCCCAGAGTTCCCAAGAGAAACTAGCTGGGGCCACCACCAGAGAGGCTACAATTACTAATGGTCATGAAAATAAGTTCAGTCACAATTAAGTTCATAAGGTCCCATGACAATGCTTAGTGTTTCAATTACTCCATGGTTCTGGGCTATGGAGCTACCCTATTCCTAAGAGCTATTTTCCCTTCTTTCCCCGTTCATCATTATTTCCAAAGCTGACCTGCCAGGATGGTGGCATCTTCCTATATAATCTACAATTAAATCAAAACCAAACAAACAAAAACTTTAATGTGTCCAGGAATAATTAGCTTTTTGCTTCTTTTCCCTCCCCCTCAATCCACTATTCTTCTAGTGGTCTCACGAAGATTACTTTTCTTTTCTAATGTACACAATAGAAAGGAGAAAGGGCAAATGGCTTATCTAATAGACAACTAAGAACTTGTAAATGCCAGGAACTAGATACTATATTAAGATTTAAAGTTGCTGGGCCCAATCATTGACAAAAATAAAAATTTACTGTAGGGGATCCCTGGGTGGCTCAGCAGTTTAGCACCTGCCTTCAGCCCAGGGTGTGATCCTGGAGTCCCACGTCGGGCTCCCTGCATGGAGCCTGCTTCTCCCTCTGCCTGTGTCTCTGCCTCTCTCTCCCTCTGTGTCTCTCATGAATAAATAAAATCTTTAAAAACAAAAATTTACCGTATAAAAAATAGACGAGCTGCATTAGTAATGCAAAGACTTTCAAATAAGAGACTGCAATTCAACTTTCAAATGTTTTATTTTTAGTGTTTTTAAACATTTTAATACAACAAAGATATAAAATAATATATTAGTTAAATCTGGATTTAATTTAGAATCAATATATTTACTTATATACAACACTGTGCTTCAAGATATGGCTACCACAGGAACATTCACATCTTCAAGTAATACTAGTTTCTCTGTGGACAGAGTTACATTTAGGTAGAGTTCTTAAAACAAAACATGCCCACTTTAGTCCAAGCTAATTTTGCCTCCCCCACTAAGTACCAGTTCTTCTTTTGTTCCATATCAGAAATACTTCAATTGTCCTAACAGTCCATAGATTCTCCAGATAAAAAATTATTAAAATTAAGCATTTTTAAGATGACATTATTAACATGGCTTGGCAGCCATTCAGACAACCCAGTTCATACTGAAACATCTGAAATAATAAAATGATCATAGTATTCCATCTCTCTCCCCTTCCTTATGCTTAACATGGAATACTGAATAAAAAGTCTTTGGCTAATTTAGGGTAGAACACATTCTAAAAACACCTTTACTGGTAGCTGAATTATGGTTTATAGGTTTCATATAAGCCACGTTTTACTTGAAATTGGTAGCATTTACTGGATGTGAAAGGTGAGAGGGAAGACCAAAACCTACTTTCACAGTAATTTCAGTCATTCAGAGCCACTCAAACACAAAGAGGGAAAAACCCTCAACCTCTCTCTTTTCTCACTGGTCACCTGAAGCAGTCTGACTTGATGTTACTAACAAGTCTCTAGAGAGGTATGAGGATAATTCAGGCTACACTTTTTACAAATGCAAACCATCTTTAACTGCCAAATGAAGATGGCATTAAAACTGACATGCTTTGTTGGCTTTGAAACTATCTAAAAGAAACCAATACAGTTTAAGAAAGCTATTGGACTATTAGAATATTCTTGTCTCAAATGCCTGAATACCTGAAAGAACTGACACAGGACTATTACTGTAATTACTCTTAGTAAGGGATAACTTAAGTCTACAAAAAGACTACCAAAAAATTAAATTTATTAGATCACAGAACTTAAAACAAGAATATGGTTAACGTTCTCAAGCATTTTGGAATAAGAATCTTTAAAAAATGTTTACTAAAAAACTCATGATGCATTGCCTTTTGCTGAATACACTCAAAGCAGGTTACTGTTATGAATGTGACTTTGAATATATAAATAACACTTTTCCAACAGACTGTTTCATTTTGGCTATAAGAGGACTTGGCTTCTCTGTTCTGTTTACAAATTATAAGATTTTTGGAATTCTAAGTAACAACACGCAGGTACAGAGTAAGAAAACATACCACTTGCAGTGTCAGAGTTACACAACCAGAAGGTCTCTCAGTCAACAGATTTTTTTCTCATGAACAATTCACATTTCTTTAGCTGATTGGTTCTAAGGGTATTCTCATTGCTCTCTGATTTAAAACAAACAAACATCAACAAACTACTAAATAGACCCAGCATATGGAAGTTGTATTTTTACCCTAGCAATTCTGGCCATAGAGAACTATGGAGAGGATAGCCATTTGAGAATTCTGCAGCACAGCCAAATAATTTCTCCCAAATTATTCAGTGATAACAGCACACTTGCCTTCTTCAAAACCTCCTACTCCTTGTGAACTTCAATTACCCTTCAGTAACAATGTCCTGCATAGACAAAAAGAAAGAAAGAAAGAAAGAAAGAAAAGAAAAGAAAAGAAAAGAAAAGAAAAGAAAAGAAAAAAGAAAAGAATAAAAAGACTATATTGCCCCCAGGAGTATAGAGAAATGAATCAAGGACTTTCAATATAATCTCCAGTTTGTATGCCCAAACCAAAAGCCTTCTTGGTTCCTTCTATACTGAGGTCTCAGTATTTAAGGATATAAGCCTCTCATAAGCCTGCAGCTGTAGAGAGGGTCAAAAAATACATAGATCTAAGGCATGGAGCTTTTCTACCTGGCCACATTCACACCAAAATGTGAATATAAATACCACTCTTCCAATGGTTTACACTTTGACAAGAAAAAAAAAAATACAAAGACAAAATCTGGAAATTTCTGGACAAAACAAAAAACAACTACAATATAGGTTTCACATTAAAAAAAATGGAAAATAATTTTGTGTCAAAGTTTTCCAAGAAAGAGACTTGGAGATGATGAATTTATGTAAACACTGCCTTGTATTAGTTATAACAATAAAATGTAAATTTACCTTACCTTTACCTCAAATCAAATATGATAAATGCAAAGCTGAAAACTTATTTTATAATCTTCATTGCAGTCTACTGTTAGGCACTCTCAATGTCATTAGCTCTGCAAAGTTAGTTGCAATTTTTTTTTTCTATTTTGTTCTAGAATAGAATCCATAAGAAGGAAAGAACACTGATGTTAGGAAATTTACCATTAAGTTACTATCTGACATTCTTGAATTAATGTTGCCACAGATTTTTTTCAAACATTTTTCCAAAAGCCAACATTCGTCCCTCCCTAGCTAAATACAGTCTTACTTGTCCCTTAGAAAGAATGGCAGTTACACATTTTTTTATCTCAAGGGTCAAAGTACTCTAGGTAGCACAGGAAACATCCCTCATGTTTATGCAGTTTCCTTAGTGAAACATTGACATTTTTGTCTCTTGCATATATTAGAATCAACAATTTAAGATATTATAAGATTCTAAAGTATTAGATTTAAATGCATAATAAAACTAGAATTGCCTTGTACCATTTCTCAAGTGAGAAAAAATAATGTTAAGAGTAGACTCAAGAACAAAAAAAAAGAGTAGACTCAAATTGGGGTCATTCAGCACTGGTTGAAACTTGTTTGCATAATATTCTTTTCCTGTCCAATCCATTCAGGATCCTCTGTAACTTATACAGGGGTGGGAATATGACTCAAAGTGCAAAAATAAAATATTTCACCCACATTACAGTGGGCTTCTAAGCGGCCTAATTTTAGACCTCAATATGCCAGCACTTTTTCTGACTCCTTGTTTTAAAATGGAATGTAAAAACTATACAATTAATATGCCAAGTAGCTAAGCTCAACCAGTTGGGGCTCAAAATCCAATTCCATAACTGTTCTACTGTCATAACTATTAACCAAAATCATTAAAAAGTAAAGTGACAAATGTTTTCACAATGGTCAAATTACTTAAGGTACTAAATTTCTAGTGTTGTAAACAGCAACTATGTTGTATCACTTTCTGACTGCCAAATTAAGACCAAAGAATGTATGTACACAATTATATTTAAAAATGAAAAATAACAAAACCTTTTCATATCCAAATATGTCTGACACTGTTCACTTCTGATGGCCAAGAATGACAAATTTCAAAAACCAAAAAGTTGTATTATGCCTGCAACCTGTAATAAAGTTCTTTTCGAACACAGAAAAAATATTCTTTGCATGCATACCTCCCTATTCACGGACATTAGAACTTTATCTAACATTTAGTAAAACATTCCACTATTTTGCTCATTAAATAACATCACTTAAAGGCATAAAATTGGGCTGTCATATGTCTAGCTAACTATAGCACAAAGTTGTTCCAGGTACCTACCTGACTAAAATTAAGCCAATTTTATTATTATGGATGCAGCCATTTCTCCCTCATAAACACTTACTGATGGTCACACTAAACCCTCAGAACAAAATAAGAACTGCATCTTCTGTTGCACCTTTGGAGAAAAATGCCAGTACTATATTTGTACTTTGTCACCTCATGTACAGCCTCTTCCATTCTCTTCTTCTTTCAGGCATCCTGGTATGTTCAGTATACTTTTCTTAAAGATGGTTCAGAAGGCAAAAATTATTTGTTAGTAATACAGATCACTTTCTACAGTTGCATTTTTAAAAAGATTAGTTCAAAGAAAAGTACTGCTCATTTGATGGAGGTTTTTCTTTGAAGATAATGAGGAGCTTAAAAAAATTATTTCTTGACTAGAGTCCTAATGAAGTTAAACAAAACAAAACAAAAACACTTTCAACCAGCAAATTGCTTAAGTTCAATACAAGTACTCAACAGGCGAGGGTAACAGCCTGACTTCAATCACAACATTAAATCTGCCAAAAGAGAAGAGTCAGAAACATCTACTTAAGCTTCCTATTCAAACGAATATGTAAGGACTCTTGACTGCTCTTTCTTGATTTCTATAATCACAGCCTTGCTCAAAACATGAAACTTCACTTTGTCAACATATAAGCCAAAAAGCAAGGAATCCAGGAACAGCTTAGGGGGAGAAAGCAAAGTTATTCACTTTCAACTACAGTATATTTAATCATGAACCCATTATAAAGATTGACTTTATCCAATTAATCTTTTCATTATTGCTGGTTTTGAAAATGGCCAACAATATTCATTAGGTACTGTACCATTAACATTGCATTCAAAAAAAGAAAACATGGGAAACCAAATTCTTGCTCTCCTACTCTGCTGATATGCTCTAGTATTGGCTAGAGTATGGTAGTACAAAAAGAGTCTTGTCGTGATATAAAAGGCAATAAACACATCAATGGAATAATGTTCGTGGGCAGCCAAAATGAAGAAGATTCCAAAGAGGTTGAGAACCCAGGACAAAGTATGCAAGAAATTCCAGCTTCTTGGTGTATCTGGGAAAAGGACAGAAAGATCGTTTTAAAACCACATTCTTTCCAATGCTTCTAAGTCACATGTTTCTTTCTTTTTTTTTTTTTTAAATTTTTATTTATTTATGATAGTCACAGAGAGATAGAGAGAGGCAGAGACACAGGCAGAGGGAGAAGCAGGCTCCATGCACAGGGAGCCCGACGTGGGATTCGATCCCGGGTCTCCAGGATCGCGCCCTGGGCCAAAGGCAAGCGCCAAACCACTGCGCCACCCAGGGATCCCAAGTCACATGTTTCTTAGGTCAGTCTGTCACTCTCATTCTTCATAGAACTTGACACCCTTCCAACAGCCTCCTCTGCAGCCAGTCATCTAATATATATGGAAGCACTAAAGAAATACTTACATTCAGTGACAAAGAAATTCAGCATAGTTAGGACGACTGTGTGGCCACTGAACATGTAATCTCCACAAGTGTGAACACCAGTTAGGGTCATCCCAAAGCCACTCCAAATGGCAAAGGCCCGGTGCAGTTTCTCCCATACACTGCCATATATCTATAAAGAAAGCTACAAATTAGTGTTTCAAGTGCTTGGAGAGGTAGGGGCTTCCAAACATCCACTCACATTTGAAATTCCAACGCTGAATGACTTAGAAATAAGATCTAAACAAAAGCAACCAGACTCCCAGTTTAATTAATTCCAGATATTAAAGGATGGTCAGATATATTCTGGTAATTAAATGTAATCAGTAGAATACAAATTTCTCTACTAAGGATTCGTTTACAGTGAAAAAAGTCACTATTACACAAAATATTTTCAAGTTTTTAATCCAATAATACAGGAGTATTTGCTGGCAGTTCTTGCCAATAAGAAATAAACTATAACAGAGACAATGGCTACCATTCAATCTCTATTCTTCCCTTCTTCACTGGTAACAGAATATCAGATTTATTTGAAATAACGAACTCAACCAAAACACTGCCTCCCTAGCCTAACTGCAGCTTGGTATGGTTTTGTGACTAAGTTCTATATAATAAGACATAAGTGGAAGTGTAAAAGATTTCTGGGAAGGTGACTTATAAAGCAAAGGGACAACAACCAGATGAAGTCTCTTTTGCCTTTCCTTCTGAAAGCCTACAACTCAGACTTGATAGTTGAAGCTCCAGTAGCCATCCTGGACCACTAAGTGGCCTTGAGGATGCAAGACAAGTGTTAGGACAGGAGAGGAGAAAGAGAGAAGCATCATAGGTTTTTGATAAGTACATATAGTTACACATGACCTAGTTTCAGATTTCTCTTATGAGACAGAACAAATCATTGTTTATTAAAACCATGCCATCTTGAATTTCCTATTATTACCAGTCAGACCTAATCCCCACTCCTGTACATAAGTGTAAGAAAGTAATCTATTTTGAGGAAGAGTTTAAGAATTTGAGTAACAGTCACTCTTTTAAAAAGCATGGGCATTTAATTTTTAAATGGCATTTAACATACAATAACAGTACAAAAAATCCTAACATGTTATGTGCATTTACTATGTGTAAGACATGCTGCTAAGTGCTTATGTGTTACTCTATTTAATTTCTAAAACAATCCTGTGAAGTGATTTAATTATGCAGCTGAGGAAACTGGCTTAGAGTGGTCAAACAGCTAATAAGTAACTTAACCAGGATGCACATCCAGGAAATCCAATTCCAAAGTCCTGTGTCTTTTTTTTTTTTTTTTAATTTATCCATTCATGAGAGACACTGAAAGAGAGAGGCAGAAAGACACAGGCAGAGGGAGAAGCAGGCTCCATGCAGGAAGCCCGATGTGGGACTTGATCCTAGAACTCCAGGAATACACCCTGAGCCGAAGGCAGATGCCCAACCACTGAGCCACCCACCCAGGCATCCCCCAAAGTTCTGTCTTTCAGGGCCTTTCTACTTGCTAGATGGGGTACTGCCCAATTCATAAAGTAATTTAATAATGTCAATTAGATCTTCAAAAAAAAAAAAACTCACAAAGAAAAAAAAAAGTCCTATGTTTTAAAGATTCTACTATGGCTAATTAACAACAGACATACCTTATTAGGTATCATGATTTCATTAGAAATCTCACCTGCTAATTATATACACCGAACTTTCCCTTTCTGCCTCAGTGAAGGGCAGGACAGGAAGATGAATTTATTATTGGAGAAAAGGAAAGATAAGTTACTAAAATACACATAGTTTGTTCTTCTAAGACCTCTAATGAGAATAGGGATGGAGATGGTACTCTTGTGAAAGTAAAAAATCAGGCAGTGAAGAATAGAGACTGCTAGGAAAATATTCTCAGCCAAGGGCAGTGATGCCAGTCAAAAGAAAGCAATCATCGTTCAGTTACTCAAGTCTTTCTATCCCTTCCAGTTTTAAATGTCCCAAATATTCTGTATCTTCTTTACTTAAGGTGGGCATTCTACATTTTAAAAACAGGTAGGTTCTTGGTTCTGTGCCTAAACCTTCTACTTCTGAGAATGACATTTCAAGCAATTATTTTATTTCAATGAAAATGCCCTATGGAGTTTACTATAAGGGATGTGATCGCTAGTTACTATCACCTTAACTTTCTATTTTTAACTGCTACAAATAATACAGGTCAATAAGTAGGTTATATTATAATGTAAAGCAATTAACAGCATTCAGGGCAGATTTGAATAGAAATGTCCATATATAACTAACTGATAATGAAAAACAGTCCTTAGAGACAGAAAAGGAGCTATCCATACTGTAGAGGGATGGTGTCTAATTTATTTTTGTAGCACACATTACAGCCCTATGTACATATATCATTCTCTTAGTGGCTGACCTACAATTAAATCCCTCAGCTACGTGAAATTCTCTTTTCAGTGGAGTAAGCTTCTATTTTTCTTCTTTAAAAAAATCTCTTCTAATCAATTACCATACTATTTTGGGGGAATTATTCTACCCCTATTTCATAGCACGTACAGAAATAAATTCAAAAGAGTAAAGATTTAAATATATAACGTAAGACTGGTAGGGGCACCTGGGTGGCTCAGTCAGTTAAGCATCTGCCTTTGGCTCAGGTCATGATCTCAGGGTTCTAGGATTGAGCCCCATATTGGGCTTCCTGCCCAGTGGGGGTCTCTTTCTCTTTTACTCTCTCTCCCTGCTCATGCAAATAAATAAATAAAAATCTTTAAAACATAACACTGTAAAAGTCTCATATCATCATCTTTCATTAATCAGAATGGCAATGACTCCAGAAATTGATAAGGAGTGCTGGCAAGGGGTTGGGGAAACTGACACATATACAGTGTTGGTCATAGTGAAAAGTTTGTTTTTTTCTACTGGATGTTTGTACAAAATGTATTTGATGTGTATATTCTTTGATTTCATAATCCTACTTCCAGGAATTTATGTTAAGTAGACCATTAAATAAATGAAAATGCATAAACACACAAGAACATTCATGACGGTACGTTTTATAAATAGTAAGATTTGGAAACAACATAAATGTACATCATTTGGAAACTGGTAAATCATACAGTGGAACACTGCAGCTATTAAAAAGATGAGGTACAGCCATATGTATTTCTTCAGAATTAAGTAAACAACATACTATTAAATAAAATATAAACTAAAAAACAATGTCTACAATGTAATCTTATCTTTTATTTAAAAAGTATCTACTAGGGCGGGCCCGGGTGGCTCAGTGGTTTAGCACCGCCTTCAGCCCAGGGCCTGATCCTGGAGAGCCGAGATCGAGTCCCACATCGGGTTCCAGTCCCACATCGGGCTCCCTGCATGGAGCCTGCTTCTCCCTCTGCCTGTGTGTGTGTCTCTCATTAATAAATAAATAAATAAGTCTTTAAAAAGAAAGTACTATATAAATTTATGTGAATGTGTAAGCATGCTTAAAAATAGTGTATGTGGCTATATACTCACTATTAACAGGATTATTTATGAGATGGTTGAAAGAAGAGGGGATTATGTGAGCTTTTACTTTTCAATTTATATATTTTTAGAAATATAAAATACTGCCTTTACAATAAATAATCCTAAGCGTTATATTAATCCTTCTCTCTTGCTTACTGGTTAGTTTCCTAATACCTGGAGAAAGTTTTGTCACCCTTTAGCTCACGGCTGTATTTTTAGTTCTTGATCCCTTGGCTGCTTAATTTTCCCTTGTTGGCATTTCAACTATTTCTATTACAATAGAACTGACAATTTTGTTTAACACTTATACAAACAATATTAAAATAACAACAAAGGTGCTAACATATATTTGAATATTTGGCAACATATAACTAAAGCACAGAGGCTTAGAAAAGTAAAATAATAAATTCTTTTGTCCAAATTTAATGAGTCACAAAGGCCAATTCTGTATATAAAGTACAGGTGATTTTCAAGTTTCTAGAAGTGTTTGTTTTTTTGTTTTGTCTTTTTGTTCCCATCTGCATAACTTCTCCCCTCTCAATATAATCAGAAGAGAAGATATTGTCTATAACATACCAAAATAAGCTACAAAGTTTAAAACAAAAACAATAAATTAGCCATTATTTAGTATATCCTAGAAAACAGCAAGTTTAGAATAGTGGGTACTTTATTTTAAATGGAATATGGTCAAACGGAAAACTTTTTTAAAAGGAGCGGTAAGGATATTGAAGGGACCACAGTCATGTCATATTGATGTGGAGAACAACGGCAAAAGAAAAAAATTAAATTTTTTTACAACTTACAGCCCATTGACAAGTCCCTGAGACAGGCAGAGTGACCTTCCTCTAGGAACTCAGCTGCCTCTACATTAATACTTTGCTAAGGGCCAATGGCAATTTTAGCTTAACATTATCCTAATCTCCAAGATCCTGTAACTCTCCTTTAACATATACAAATTCCTTTGGAAACTTTATCTCTATTCCCCAAGATACATGTTAGCAGTCATCTTCCAAGATAATGGCCCCCTGATATATATCCGAAGGGTCTCATGACTAAGGTTTAACAAGACAGTAATAAATGACCTTTTCCTGACAATAGCTAGCCCGCTCAAGGTCCTGGAAACCTTGCTTCCAAAATTCTCTAAAGAATTATACTAGTCCCTAACCCCCTCTCAACTTGGAAGGTATATAATCAATCAGTCACCCGTGACAACTCCAGTATAGCACTTTCTGCCCATGAGACTTGTCCCTATGCTTTAATAAAACCACCTTTTTGCACTGAAGATGTCTCAAGAATTCTTTCATGACTGCTTGCTCCAAATTCCAACATTTCCACATCAATATGAGGAACTAAAGATGCTCAGGATGGTGAGAAAGGGAAAAATGGTAATTCAAAGAAACTTGTTTTCTACAGCTCCACAGCACAGAACCAGTATCAATGGACAGATGTTAATAGGAAGGTAGATTCTGGCTTAAGATTTCTACCAAATTATTTCTAGAGGTTTATTACAGATAATGAAAAATACTGAAAAGCACGTTTTAAACATTTTATTTATTTATCTATTCATCCATCCATCCATCCTTTAGAAAGAGAGGCAGAGGGAGAGGGACAGGGAGAGAGACAACCTTAAGCAGGCTCCATGCTCAGTGCATGAGGCTGATGCAGGGGCTTCAGTCTCACAGCCCTGAGATCATGATTTGAGCTGAAATCAAGAGTCGGACACTTAACCAACTGAACCACCTAGGCACCCCTAAAAGACATTTTACCATTAAAAGTAGAGTCTTAGCCCTACTATATATATATGGTGCCATCAACCCCCCAAGAATAAGAATGAATGATAAAGAAGGTAGCAGGCTACCTTTCCAGTACACTGCAGGTGCTGTCCTGGCACGGAGAGGGAGGTCACAAACATGGTAAAGCAGCGAAGCAAGAATACAGTGCCCATCAGACTACAGAGCCTTCGAAGAAGTATTGACCTGTGAACAGAGCGACCAAAAAGAAAGAAAGATCAGAAGAAAGCAAACCCCAAAACTCCAAGCATCATGTGTTTACTTAACAGGAGAGCAGGTAGGAAAACCACTAGAACTAGGCTCTTTGAAGAAGACACAAATCTTAGAGAAATCTTAGATCTGAAGCATCCCTGTCCAACAGAACTTTGCAATACTGGAAATATCTTGTAACTGCACTGTCCAATAAGGTATCCACATGTGGCTCTTGAGCACTTGAAATGTGACTGATACATCCAAGGAACTGAATTTTAACTTATTTTATTTTCATTAATTTAAATAGACATATGTGGTTAGGATCTGCCATGTTAAACACTACTGACCTAAGGGCATCATTTCATTGATAAGAAAACACAGCTAAGAGAAAGTAAAGGAATTATGCAAGAAAGAAGTAAGACTAGTACCTAGTCTGCCTCTCAGCTTAATATTAGTGCTATTATTTATATATTGCTCATAAATTATTTACTTTATGAGAGGTAAAACTAAACATGATTCTAGGGAATTTTTTGCTCATTAATAATTTTGTAAATTGGTTACTGATAGTAGCTATCTTAAACATTCTCCAATCTCTCTTAAACTATAAAAATACTAAGTTTTTTTAGATACAAGTTTTATATTAAGTATACCTAGCAAAATTTTTTTAGCAAAAATTTTGAACTGCATTGTGATTATCACTTGTACTGTCATATTATTTTTTAAAACTTCCAAACCAAAACAGACTATAATATTCTTAAACACCGGGACTATGCTTTACCCATTTTCAAAATGCTCTTCTATCCCTCAAAAAAGTATTAAAACACAGGTTAAAAGATCTTAAATTTTAGTGTGTACATCTGGAATGGAGCCTAGGAATCTACATTTTAACAAGAAACCAGGTGATTCTAATGAAAGCAGTATAAAGGCCACACCTAAAGAAGCCTTTCTTTGACTAATCAAATGCCAAAACTCGCATTTAACTGGCCACTGCTATGCTTTGCTAAATCTACCAAAGTTTCCTCTATGGTAAATTCATTCTTGAAGAGTAGATAAATTCAAATTCATTGGCATCTTGTGAGCCAAAGTTAAACCAGGAAGCAACAGTGATATTATACGTTTTTAAACCACCTCTAGTTTTAAGTAATCCAGAGTTTAAAATATTTCTGGAAAATGGGAAAGAACGAAGCATTATACAGCCTAAAAGTTTGGCAATAATAGCAATCATCAACCTTTCTTTTCACCTTCAAAGCAACGGAATACCTGCTGCTTAGGACCTAAAGCCCCTCACTGGTTTACTTGAAAGCATTCCCTGTTGAGGAGAAAGGATAAAAAATTCAAGAAAGTGTACCTATTCCTCATCAGTGTCCACAGACAATGGATAGCAGATCCACAAACTTTATAGTTCTTGAAATTTTTTCATTATGTCTTTTTAAATAATTTCCCCTCATTAGCACAGGAAAGAAGCCTCCCCTTACTACTTATTAATTTAAAAAAAAAAAAAACTCTTTCCTTTATATTTCTTAATGAAAGTGCCAAAGAAGCACTTTCCCCACACAGCAATTTCCTGTATCATCTTAAACCACACTGACTAGATGTACATGGTGTGCAAATAATCCCTTTTCTACTGGACCTCCTCCAAGCAGAGAATTTCTTCCACCCAAATACTGTCCTTGACCAAAGACTGTCCTTGGAGGAGTTTCTATTCTTCAACAGAAAGTGACATTTCCGATTTGTTTCCAAAGAAAGTTACGGCTAGACTGTCAGCTGTTGGCTCATGGCTGAACATCACCATCTCTGATCTTTGCCTGCAGAATACTGCTAAATACGCAGGTATTACTGCACAGGGACTTTCTTGTTGATCAAACCCAAAACATTTTTCATAATGAAGAAAGAAGGAAATTAACAAGGAAACTACAAAAGGGGGAAACAAGGTTTGATGAACTTTATCCAAGACAGTCAAAATATTTTGTCTTTTAATGGAGTAACTGAGGTACCTGTGTTTGTGAAGAAGAAGAACCAGGAGCCAAATATAGCACAAAATCATGCCACATACTTCTGTCATGGCAAAGGCCCATGGAATTCTAGGAACACTGGAACAGAAAAAAATTACATTTTGGACTGACAAGAAGCGTATTACGTAAATGACACTCTTTGTAGTAAGAACTCTTCTAAATTGCCTTCTATAACTTTTATCTCTTTTAGGAGATGATATTTAAAGAAACTGGGGGGAAAGATTGTTTCATAAAGTATTCCATTTACCAAAACCTCTTTGCTGTCTGTGATTCCCAAATAATGATTCTCTGTGAAGAAGTTAACAACCCTTTTCTTCCTCCCTGTAGTATGGTATCCCAGAATACAGAACTGCCCACAAACATCAACATCAATGGGAAAAGTTTCACTCTTGCTAATTGAAGAATCAGGGCTTGAAATTGACTCCTCTTTTCTTTTTTTCTTATAATAAATTTGGTTTTGTTTTAGAGGTAGTAAATAAGAGTTTTTGTTTTGGGGATCCCTGAGTGGTGCAGCGGTTTGGCGCCTGCCTTTGGCCCAGGGCGCGATCCTGGAGACCCGGGATCGAATCCCACGTCGGGCTCCCGGTGCATGGAGCCTGCTTCTCCCTCTGCTTCTCCCTCTGCCTGTGTCTCTGCCTCTCTCTCTCTCACTGTGTGCCTATCATAAATAAATAAATAAATAAATAAATAAATAAATAAATAAATAAATAAATAAATAAATAAATAAATAAATAAATAAATAGAAAGAGTTTTTGTTTTGATTTATTCCTTCATTACTTTCTGCCCTCCTTTGTTTTATATCCATTTTCTTCTCTTTTTCCATTGATTCCTCTTTCTTCACCAAATCTTTCTTCACAGCTCCTGTGGTTATTCACTAGTAAAATACATGTCACATTTCTTAATTTAAAAAAGGGGGGGGGCATCTGGCAGGCTCAGTTGGTTGAGCATGTGACTCTTGATCTCAGGGTTGTAAGTCTGAGCCCCATGTTGCATGTAGAGATTACTTAAAAATAAAATCTTAAAAACTAAATACATACATAAAAAGAGAAGGAGAAGGAGAAAAAGAAGATAGAGGATGGAACAGGGTAAAGGTGGCAAGGAGTACAAACAGGTCATCTTCAGGTGGTAGGATTATTGTCTTATTTTTATTCTTTGTACATTTCCACTTAAAATTCTTTTTTTTTTTTTTTTTTTTTAAATATTTTATTTATTTATTCACGATAGTCACACAGAGAGAGACAGAGAGGCAGAGACACAGGCAGAGGGAGAAGCAGAGGGAGAAGCAGGCTCCATGCACCGGGAGCCCGACGTGGGATTCGATCCCAGGTCTCCAGGATCGCGCCCCGGGCCAAAGGCAGGCGCCAAACCGCTGCGCCACCCAGGGATCCCTCCACTTAAAATTCTTACACGATGTGTAATTTTATAGCTAAGGAAAGTTATTTATTAAAAAGAAAACATAAAACCTGAAAGAAAGATATTAACAGTCTACTCCAAACCTTAATCAGAGTAAGTGAAGAGAGCTAATCATTTTTAGTCAGGGACTTGTCTTTTACCTATTACACCTCAGGAAAAAAGACACCTCTTCTGTATTTTTAATCTACTGTTGCCTTTTATATCTGGTATAACTGGGGGAAGGGTTATTTCACATGTCAGAAATTTTCAGATAAAACAGATTCCTGAAGCACCTGGGTGGCTCAGTCGGCTGAGCATCTGACTCTTCGTTTCAGCTCAGGTCAAGGTCTTGGGGTCTTGAGATTGGGTCTCAAGTTAGACTCTATGCTAAGGGTGGAGCCTCCTTGAGATTCATCCTTTGCATGTTCCCATATAAATACATCTTTAAAAGAAAGTTTCCTTTAAATGACTTTTAGCCATATAAACTTTAAAAATTAACATTAAGGGACACGTGGGTAGCTTGAGCATCTGCCTTTGGCTCACGGCGTGATCCCGGTCTGGGGATCGAGTCCCGCATCAGGCTCCCTTGTGAGGAACCTGCTTCTCCCTCTGCCTCTCTCTGTGTCTCTCATGAATAAACTATTTAAATAAATAAAAATGAACATTAAAATAGATGTATATGAATATATATATGTATATCTATAAATGTGTATGTGTGTATATATATATAAATATATGCAAAACATTTCCCAACGTTTAGTATGGAAATAAGTTTTCTGACCCACTCGTTACCTAATTATTGCTCCCCAGAGGCAATCACTTTCATTCATGTGTTTTATTTGGGCAGCTCCCTACCCCCCACTTCATTTTTTCTCCCCTATTCTCAATATTGTTTCACCATTAAAAAATAATAATTTTGGCTTTCACTTAACGTAAGTTTGTATATATCATTTGTAGCTGAGTCAGGAGAGAACAATGATCAAATCTCTTTCTTGTAGTAGAAATTCTTATATTCTCTACAGCTAAAAATATATATATATATTTTTAAGTTCGCTGTTTCTTGTGTGTGCCTATCACCATTCATCTTCAAACTGGTCTACCAATTTCAATTTTTCCTTTTAAGGTAAATTTCTCCTCCTAGAGTTCTTTTTTTTCCAATTTTGTATGGCTGCATTTTCTAGTTTTCCTGTATGGCTTTTTGAAATAAAACTTGACCTTCGTCTTGGAAATTCCTTTCTGTATTAGACTCTTTGTTTCTTGAACCCATGTTCTCTTTTTCTGTTTACCTCTTAAGTTTTGTTTTTTTAAGATTTTTTAAATTTACTTGGGGAGGGGGGAGCATACACAGGTGGGGGGAGGAACAGAGGAAGAGGGGGAAGCAGACTCCTCACTGATCAGGGAGCCCAATGCTGGGCTTGATCCCTGGACCCTGAGATCATAACCTGAGCTGAAGGCCACCTAGGCACCCCTACTCATTAGTTTTGATGATGTATATCCTCCACTTTCTGAGAAAGACAAGATGAAGAATAAACTTGGTTGTTTTGTTTGTTTTTTAAGTCAAGGGGAAGGGCAGAGAGAGAACCTTAAGCAGGCTCCACACCCAGCTCCAAGACCCACACTGTGCTCCATCTCACAACTCTGAGATCATGACCAAGCAAAAACTAAAAGTTGGGATGCTCAACTGACTGAGCCACCCAGGCACCCTTAAACTTGTTTTTAATGTTAGTTTTAAGGGGCACCTGGATGGCTCAGTCAGTTAAGTGTTTGCCTTTGGCTCAAGTCATGATCCCAGGGTCCTGGGGTCGAGCCCTGCATCAGGCTCGCTGCTCAGTGGGGAGTCTGCTTCTCCTCCCTCTGCCTCTCTCCATGCTAATGCTCTCTCTCTCAAAATAAATAAATAATGTTAGTTTTATTGAGATTTAATTAACAACCAGAAAAATTCACCCATTAACTATACAGTTCAATGAGTTTTGACAAACATTCAGTCATGGAACAACTACCACAATAAAGATACAGAATATTTTCATCACTCCAAAGAAGTTCCCCTGTGTCCTTCTATAGTCAATCCCCTTTCATTTCTAGTCTTAGGGCAACCACTCAACTGATTTCTGTCCTATATTGGTTTGCCTTGCCCAGAATGGCATACAAATGGAATCTACGTACCTTTTGTAGCTGGTTATTTTCACTTCACATAATATATTTCAGATTCAGCCATGTTATTCCATGTATAACTTTTATAGATTTATTAAAGATTTTATTTATTCGTGAGAGACACAAAGAGAGAGAGAGGCAGAGGCAGAGACACAGGCGGAGGCAGGCTCCATGCAAGGAGCCCAATGCGGGACTCGATCCCAGGACTCCAGGATCACGCCCTGGGCCGAAGGCAGGCGCTAAACCCGCTGAGCCACCCAGGGATCCCCAATCCATGTATAATTCTTAATCCATTCACTGGTTGGTAGATTTTTGGATATTTGATGGATATCTGGATATATCCAGTTTTGGGTGGTTTTGAATAAAGACCATTACAAGTCTTTGCATGGATTATGTTTTTATTCCTCTTAGGTAAACACTTAGGAATGAAACTATTGTGCCCCATGTTAAGAATATGTTTAACTTTTTAAGAAACTGTTAAACTGTTTTCAAAGCAGTTCTATCATTTTGCATCTCTACCAGCAATGTATGAGAGTATCAGGTGCTCTGGATCCTTGTCAGGTGTTATCAGTTTTTTTCTGTGGAGTCGGGAAGTAAATATTTTGAGACTTGCAAAATTAAACATTTCCTTGGTAAGTTTAGCCTTAACTAACTGGTAGCTTGTCTGGACAGAGAATTCTAGGTTAGACCTTGCTTTCTCTCGGAAAGTTAAAGGTATTGCTCTTGTCTTCTAGTTTCCACTGTTGTAAAGAAGAAGTTTGAAGCTATTCGGATTTCTAATCTTTGTATGTTACTTGTTCTGTCACTTAAGAAGCTTTTAGGGATCCCTGCTTCTCCCTCTGCCTGTGTCTCTGCCTCTCTCTCTGTGTGTGTGTGTGTGTGACTATCATAAATAAATAAATTAAAAAAAAAAAAGAAGCTTTTAGGATCTTCACTCTGAATCAGTGTTCTGAAATTCTCCATTTCTTGTACTGGGTGCTTAGTTAAGGGCCCTTTCAATCTGCAAAGTCATATCCTTTGAATTTGGGAAATTTCTTTGTATTATATCCTAAATATTATCTTCCTTTTTTCTCTACATATTCTTTCTAGAACCCATATTTGTTCACTGTTGGGCCAACTGGACTGATTTTACTTTTTCTCTCTTTTTTCTTAAAGTTTTTTTTAAAAAAAGTAATCTCTATACCAAGTGTGGGGCTTGAACCCACAACCCCTGAGATCAAGAGTTGCATGTTCCACTGAATAAGCCAGCCAGGAGCCCCTCTCCTCTACTTTTTCATCTGTTCTATATACTGGGCAATTTCGTCAAATCTATGTTTTAATTATTCTGTTGGATTTTAAATTTCTACTTTCATTTTTTATTTTCCAAATTTCTTTCTCTGAATTTTCCTTTTTTTATAGCCTACTGTTCCTGTCTTATAAAATACAACATCTCTTAACTGTCAGAATATGGTTATTTTTTTTTTTTTTGAAGTGTTCTTCTGCTTTCTATTTTGTGTTTCTACTTTGCTTTTTTTCTGTTTGCATTGGTTTGTTTT